AGTCTGGATACCAACCTTTCCAATCTCTGTTCACTATCTAGCATTCCAACCTATTCATTTTTTGGATTAAGAACCCCCTTCACTTTTAGTATGAGCAATAACAGCATCTCAACTCCAGATTCTTCCTTTTAAAAGAAATCAATAGGTATCCCAGTATGCCTTTTCTTGATAGAGAGCTATTAATTTGGTAACACAGACTTATTATTAAATTATATACTAGTATTTTCCACAAGAATTTTCTTCCTATAAGCCTTCCAGAAAGGCAGAATGTTTTGCAATATGCTAAGGGGCCACTCCTCTATACCACTCTCTCCAGTTCCCTGTTCTGAAGCCTCATAGATCAGTTGCACCTGAGCCAGAGCCCAGCAGTCTGTTCTAGCCATGGCTAAGGAGAGTATCTGACTATTCACAGACGGAGGAGTCTCAAGCGATGTGGCTGCAGTACCTACAGCTCAATCTTCTATCAATACCCCTTGTTGAGACTCACTGGAGATACCAAACAACCTGGAAGCAAAGAAGTTGTTATTCAAGGCAGCTAGTGTTTACTCAGATGCAACCGAGTTTGAACTGGACAACAAATCAAACACTTCATTTCCAACTACACTCCTAAGGCCCTCCTGCCTGGAAGGCCTGTTTCTGATCTTCTTTCTAGTTAGTATAGTAAAGCACTCCTGCCAACAACCATGCTTTTCACTCCTCCTTCTCAGAGCAGGAACTTGACACATATTGAAGCTGTTATCATGGGTTATTTCAGCTGCATGCTGTTAACTGTCCACTGCTGGCACAGTTATTACCCTTCACAGTTTGGGTGTGTGCAAGCTGTACTGAGAGAGATTGCGTATGTTCTGCATAGTTTACACTCAACTGTGTTTTATTACCTGTTAACAAATGTTTCTGTATGAGAAACAGGGTTTTCCTGTATTATTCTTATATTCATGCAACCTAAAACCAGGTAGCCATGGCCACACTGTCGAGTACTGCAGTTTGTTTACCCAGCCTGATTCTCCCATAAGAAGCCCATCATTAAACATTCATTTCAGCAGTATTTGAAGAACACTCCACCTAGCTCTCAGACAGTGCACCTCTCATTACATAAATTGTTGTAGCCGTGACTGTCACAAAAGTCGCTCCGTTCTGCCTCTTGTAAGAGACGCAAATTATGTTCATTACGTATTATGAGAAGACTGATGAAAATTCCACTTGCACCTAATGAGGCTAGGCTCTTCTACAGCAGTTTCAATCCTGTTAGGTATTATGAAGCATACTGATTAGTATAAGGGTTACTCTTGCCTTCAAGATTAGTCATTACAAAGGCCTCCAGTTCTCCTTCGTATATGCAGCAAGAAAGGCAATGAATAACTAAACAAGACTCTTAATCTAAAAGGGTAGTACAGAAGGATCTATGTCAGACATTAGAAAGGATTAACAGGATTTTCAGAGCTCCACTGTAGCTTCTTCAGTAGATGTCCTCCTAAAAAGCTAGTTCTGCAGTAAGTTTCCCTATTGGTAATTGTGGTTACACATATGTACGATATGTATTAGAAGAAGTAGTTCATTGGAAGAAATGACATTACTGCTCCTAAATCCAGACTATAAAGTAATCCTGACTAGGCTCTCTCTAATTTCACATCTCTATGATGATCCTGAAAGGATATGGCAGGAATGCCCCATCCACGAGATGCACGGAAGGACAAGTGTCAGATCTAGAGTTTACCTTCCATTAACCAGGTTAGATGTTGTTTGCAGACAGATCTATGACTTAAGCTACTAGAAAACTAGTCCTTACTCCTAGAGTGACCTTTGTGCCTTCCCTCAAAGCACAAACAACAGTGTTCTGAGAAAGCACAGAAGAGATCTATAAGGTAGAAATATAAGTTGCAATACTAACACTACATCCTTAGTGCTCCCAACTACTCTCATCCCTTTCCAGGAAGAAAGTCTCACCCATAGGCATACTTGCTCTGTTGAAGAGATAATCCTCATCAACTATTTAACCTCTCATTTTATTGCTTCAGGATGCAACATGAACCGACAGGGCAGCAGGAAATTCAGCTTCAAGGCCAATAATCTGTCCTTAACTGGCCCTGTAATATCTGAACTTTGAGATTTAAGGGGACATGCACTAGCTATGAAGCTGTATTAAAAACTTTCAAAACCAATTAAGAATTCCTGCAGATATTTGGGATTAAAGATCTAAAGGTGTTTTGGCTGAGACACTTCATCCTCAAGCACTCCAGAGCATATGCAAGGCCCAGTCTTTCAGGTGAGGGAGACTAGTATGGTCTGTGTCCCCATCAATCAGAGCTGAGAAGCACTTGTTGGGAGAAGATGCTTTGTTCAGCACTCAGCTGCCCAGCTTGTATAAACAAGGTAATCCTGTTGAAACTGGTACCTCTTGTTTATTGACTAGACCTTCCACTGTGCTTCATCCAGCTTCTTTATAGCCCTGAGACCCTTGAACCCAAATGCTCAAAATCAGGTTTCTAAAGTCAGTTTGTCTTGTCGCTTATGATACTTAGATACCTTATCCTATTTGATCTTTCTAACACAACACCAAGTTCTACATCTGTGGAGTCCATGCTGAGGTTGAGGAGTAGTTGCTTATGCTTGGTTGTGTTTCACAGCAGCTCACTAAGACCCCATTAGCACTACCCACCGATGCCCCTCCACCCTCACCCCCCCCTCCTGTGGCAGCATCGCGATTCTACCAACAATCCATTAGTCTACATGCAAGATCTAAGATTTTTCTCCAAAATCTTTGCAGATTACAGGTTACATCCATGCTATCTCTTCATAATTTATTTTGTCAGAATCTATCCAGTCAGCGGGATTTGCACCATCAGCACTGTTTCTAGAACAAGCTGGCTTTCTCTGGATGTGGAATTTATTGCCTCATTGTACAAGCGAATTCATCCTTCTGTAGTGCTCACATATTGCTAGCCTTGCTGAATAAAGTCCACAAGCATTCCCAAGGACTGGGTTAACCCAGCAGGTCACATAATGTCCTAGCAGAACAAAGTTTACCAGGAAAGGAAAGCATCAATGGGAGAGAAAAATCTATATGTTTGGCAACAATACTAAATTATGCACTTTCATTACTTCATATCTCGAGGTATGGCTTTTATTCTGAACATCTTTTAATTCTTTAAGCACCAGACCTTGAGTCACCCTTACTTGACACTAAATGCATCTATTTGCTTTCCTGCAGAGACAAAAATCTACCTTTTGCATATATTATGCTTAGAGTGTTTCTTTTCATATCTTTTTGTGAAATAAAAGCCATAAGTAAGAATTGTAAGAAGTATATCCACAACAGCTACTGGTCTGCAGTGTGCAATAACAGGGTTATGCAGGTACTTTGACAAGCAATACTCTACTCGATGAGAACAAGTGAATTGTGTACTGCAGTTGTATAGAAATTCTTAGCAACATAGCAGAGGGCCTACTGTCCAAGAAGATTGGACCGTCATCTCTACCTTCACGAAAAGAAACTGATGCCGGATTTTTCAGCATTTGGCCCATCCTTCCAAACAATATTTCTGAGCACAACCTCTGGTGCTCAGCCAATAGCTTTGTTTAACGTAAGAGCACAAGAGATGAGAAGTACCATAAGTCACAGGACTATCATTAGCATTATAGCTGCAGAGCAGGTCACTACCAGACACAACGGCATATTTTCAATTTAACATTGCCTGGCAAGACTTCACAGCCAAACAGAATACACAGCTTCATAATTCTTTTTCTGTAATTGAATCTGCATCTCTATTTTGTCAATTTACACAGGTGTTGCCATCTCCAAGCATAATTATGACCTTTCTTTAGGATACAGTGGGTAAATCTAAGCCTGTATGCTCTCGGATTTGGTTCGTTTTGGGCAGCCTTTTAGAAGACTTCTGAAGCAAAAATAGAGCCTTTTAAGGCAAACTAGTTTCATTAAGAGAATATTAAAACAATTTCCCATTTACCAAAAAAAAACCCCAAAATAAAGTGATCAGATTAATCCTACCTTACCAGTGGATTTGCATGCTTTCCTACTTCGTGTTCAGGTAATCAGACTCACCTTTTCTAAGGGATAAAAACTCTGCTACAGAGAAGCCCAGCTGAAGAAGATGAGCTGTACTGGCAACACCTGCATTAATCTTATGACCCAGTGCACAGACACTATCCCGATTTAAGTGCCACCATATGATTAACTTCATGACACACCACCTGAAAAGTCAGTTTCTCAGTCCAGGTAGAAGACTCATTCTAGATAATCCTCTACACCTGTAGCTATACCCATTTACCACAGGCAGAGTAGCATCCTGAGATTCATCGGCAGACAGAGGGTGCGCAGCAAAGATACTACATCCAAAACCAAAACAAAACCTTACCCTGGCTTCACAGCACTCCGTGCTAATCTGTGCTACTAGAGAGATTCTTTCATAAAACTTGTTTATGTGAAATGTAGTGTTTATACATTTCCTTTTTACTATATTTAATGATTTGAACCCTCCTCCTTCTCCACACACAAAACTGAAACCGCACGTTTATTTTGCTTTGCGCTCCTGCTTCCCCCAGGCCGCCAGTCGCCGGAGCCGGGGGCAGGATGCGGGCGGCTTCCAGCCCGCCTCGGCCGGGACAAGTTCTTCCGCAGCCCAGGACCTTCCGTGGGGCTGAGACCGGGGCAGCCCACTGCCGCCGCCTCTCCGGCAGCGGAGCCCACCCGGCACCTCTTCTTGTGGGAGATGCGGGATGCGGGCAGCGAGCGGGGATGAGCCGAGTCCCGGCCTGGCCGCACACAGCCCCTCCGGCACCCCATCCGTGTTAGCGCCCACCCCACAGGGGTATCATCCCCGCCTCACCACAGGCACCAGCTGTCACGTCCTCCTGGGAAAAGCTGTATCCCCCTCTTCCCCCGGTGACAGCTCCTTCACTCTCTCATCACCCACCCCACTCCCCCCCTCCCGCCGCCTCCCCCGGCTGTGCGAGAGCCGAGCCCTGCTCGCAAAGCTCCTTACGGGTTAGATCCGTGCAGCTCCGAGCATGATCCAGTGACCGTAGCTGGTAGCCTGACTGGGACCGCGGGCCCGGTTAAATATTCTGTTGCACTATCGCCTGCAGATTAGTTAGCCACTCACAGCGAGCGATATGGTTTTAATCAGATGCTGGCAGCTGAGGACTACCCAGGAATGCGCTATGATGTTTTTGCTGTTTGGTCTTGGCTACTCCCCCTCAACGTGTCGGTTCTCAAAACATTAACCCTTTGCGAGCTGCTGGCTCCGGACCCTGCTGCGGGGTTGGGAGGCAGCTGGGCCCGCACAGCCCTGGCACGGAGGGGCCGGAGCCCCAGGGAGGACACGCGGGGAGGGAAGTGGGGTGCAGTGGGAAACCGGTGGACCCTGCACGGTCAGGAAATCGTGTGGCATCCGCAGTTTGCAGGGCACAGGTACTGATCCTTCTCAGGCAGCAATGGGCCCAGCACGCTTTTGTAGAAAGCGGGTCCCCTTCATGGACGGGGGTGCGGTGATGGTGTTAAAAATTCCAAGCCCAAACCAACAGCGCTTTTTTTTTTTTTCTCTGAAACCACCAAAACGAAAATACCATCCTCTCCCTTCTCGATCATCCCCAAATCTGTGGCTAGCCAAACCGAAATATTGGGTCAGTGCAATTCAGTTTGTGGGTCACATCCAGCCATGACCTTTGTACTTCCCACTCATTTTTATTCCAACATCTATCATGTTTTGTTTCCCAGAGCAGTACAGCTGCTTTCCAACTTGTATGAAAGAGGCTCTGATTAAAAAAAAAAAAAAATCACATTTTTGTCCTTGTAGCAGAACTTTCTCTTTTTTGTTCTCAAAACTGTAAATTTAGCTTAACCTTTTTTTTCTCAGAACTGTGCAAATTATTTTTGTTCAAAACTATGACATTTCCCTATACTGCAATACCCAATTTTCTACAGGTTGAATACATTTGATAGGTATTTTGAAGTTTTTCAAAAGAGGACATATTCAACAAAAAATTATTTTACCACCGCGTAGTTTGGGGTTCAAAACTGGTGGATATATTCGGCAATCATCCTCATCTAAAGCTCCTAAATGATACCCCAATTTCCTAGATAAGGCAAGGTATTTATTCTCTTTTTATGAATAGCAGAAGTGTGCTATTCATCCCTGTGCCTGAGGTGACGAAAAGCTGTTAGTTGTGACTCACTTGCCTGTATCTGTCTTTCATTTAAGAAGTGCTTATTTTAACCAAAAAGGACACGGGGGATGTGTTTTTATATACTAGCCTAGTGTTCACAGTAGGAAGTGCATGCCGCGTAAGTAAGGAGGCATTTGCTACAATTAACAGGTTGCTGGCTACACACACATCGGTATTTGCAGGATTAGATCTGAATTCCTTGGGACACAGTCATATTCATGTTTAACAATGTTGGTTTTGTACAGCTCGCGCTCCACTGTACATTGTTTTGAACAACTTGTGCTAAACACCCACAACAGGACTGGAGCTTCGTGGTCCTGGGGCAATATGTATTTTAAAGATGAATGCTTTGCTCAGCATGCTTTATGGGAGTCACACAGACTGCCTAACATGAAGGATGACATTGTGCCTATTTTAAACATGGTGCAGTAACAAAGCAACTTCTATAAAACAGGCCAGCTTGGTACTGGCATAAGCAGGATTATCATTTGTGCTTTGCCCAACACAAGCCCTAGGCACATTTCACTGGAATAACCTTCACTGGTTGCACTAATGATTACAAATATGATTTGTACTATTTTTTGTTGAATTTAGAAGATACAAAAATGCTTTTCAAGAACCCTTTTAAGGTGCAATGAAATTACAGCTACTACAGAAATAACAAGAGGTCCTTCACTATGTACCCACAGTTGGGACATCACTAAGAATCTCACAGGAAAACTTTTTTTTACTGAAAAGTATTTAATAACTAACTTGAAAATTAAAATTTTCTTGGGAAATAAAAAATCTCAAGGCTTGAGGGAATGCACTATCTATTTATTAAATCAACTTAGAACAGCTACCATGATGTCCTTAATTGTTGAGTTAGATGCTAAAATTCAGAACTGTTACATTAAAGGTCTGTAATAGGATTGCCTACCAAATGCAGGAGGAATCCAGGCAGAAACCCCCACAGGAATTCAGTTATTTCATCTATACTGCACTGCGGTACTTAGAGGACATGCTTTGCATTGTCCTCTACTTCATTTCTACTTCTCTACAGTAAAATCAGAATCAAGTGGACAATGGCTGTTATGACTCTAAAATTGACTACTAAAGCATTACAGTAGAGAGGCAGTGCTGTGGTTCCCAGAGTGATGACTTTTTTCTTGTATTTTTTGTGTCTGATTTTACTATTGCTGCCACAGGCTCAGTCTCTACCCAAGGATTTTTTTGTTCAAGTTAACTACTTTTTGTACCGAACAGTATCAGTATCAGCACTTCCCAAACACAAGCCTTTTTTCAGCAGGTCTAAAATTATCTTGAAGTTGCAGCTGGAAACCTTCACCTCAGTGAGTTTTTCTATAGCTTTTCCGGACGTTAACTCTGCCCAAACCACAGCCTGTCATTAGGATCACTGGGATTCCAGTCTGGGTAGGAGCAGGGGTAGCAACACGAAAAAAAACCCCACTGAAGTGCAGAGACCTTTGGAAGACATCAACTCTCATGAATGCCTCGAAAGCGGTATCAATAACAGTTTGTGAAAAATCTGCTTGCAGCAAAGCAATCTGGTAGCTAATCTTGCGATGGCTTGCTCAGGAATGCATGGTTTATTATTAAAGTAGTCTTTTAAGATTTTATTGGAATGTGCTTCCACAGTGGTGTTTCTGCCTTTGTGGACTTTACTTACGTGTGTGTCATCTTGCCCATAATTAAACTTTTCACTGACAGACCTGGGATTTTTTTTTTTTTTCCCTTAAACCTCCCACTTCGAATGCTGGAATTTCATTTGAACTTTAAATACTGCCTTGGAATTTGCCATAAGGTAAACTGTCTGCTCCTATACACTTTCCTGCACTGCTACAGATGTTGCAGACACAGAATAAGTGAGTGAATGTAAGAGGACTTGCAAACTTCTGTCCCACAGTTAAAAAAAGGCTGACAGGAATGAAATAGTTGTTCAGACTGTCACATTGTCTTTAGAGTATTCTCACTTTGGAACATGTGGGAATAAAAATTAATGGAAAACTGCCCTAGAAAGTACATTTTCAGTGAAGCTTCACTGCTGACAGCTGGAAAAGGCGAAGTACAACAAAGGAAACACGAAGGAAGAATTTGTACTTCAGCCTTTGGACTTCTCAGCCAAGTTTCTCATGTGACTTGGACTTGCTGACCACTTCTTTTTATAAATTCAGTTGAAGTCCACAGAATATCTGAAGCAAAAAGCATCCTTGCTGTTTTAAAATCTTAAATTACAATCTATAGTTTATTTCAGTATGACTCTAAGCATATATCTAGGAAAAGCACATTGATAGCCTCAGTACCCAAATGCTCATTCATCAACAGACCTCAAACTTGTCTTGAAAATATTTTATCCTGGAATGAAGAATAGACTCGAATAATTATTTAATCAAAGGTTTGTTTGTTGAGGCCCAAATTTGGATGTCTCAGACTTCCACAGGGATTTAAACTGGTTATATATTCAGCCACTTAGAAGTGATTGAGTAGAAGTGTGAGAGCTGTTGAGCCTCACAAGAACTACAACAACACTCTCAGTCTGTGCTTTAACCAGGAGGTAAGCCCAGTTATTTTAGGTTGCCTTCAGTGGTATTTGCTAACAGATAAAGCTAACCTCTCTCTCAGCTGAGGGCTACTAATATGTGGCTGAGAATGGATGCTTTCCAATAGCACTTTAACTGTCTGCCATGCTTCACGCAGGGATACTTCAGGAGGAGATGGTGAATTTCAGGACCAGAAGCATATGCCTTGCCATTATAGCGTTGCAGCTCTCCAACTCTTCCAAAAGAAGACACATATGGAGTTACTCAGCAGTTTTTCATATATCCTCTCATCTGCAGCCATGGTTTTCATCAGACCTGTTTGTGGGTGTGTACCAACGTGGAGGGTAGGCATCCTTTTATGTGCACAACATGGACATGGTGGGCAGCAACTTAGTACCTCTGTTCCTAGCATGGCTATGCCGTGTTCAATGACCAGCAGATTTTAGTTGAAGCAGAAATGACAGTTCCATTACTGAAACCCAGGACTTAATCACTGGTATGGTCAACTAGGGCCATGAATTAGTCTGGACAAAAAAATATGCTAGTAGGCAATATCATCTCTTCTGAAAGAGTGCACTACTTCTACCCATGTTAGACAAATTAACACAGTATTTTGCTTGGCAGCCATCAAGATCAAGAAAGGCCATATCTAAGCCATGCTCACTGCTGTGAGCCTACTCTGTGAATAGTGAGAGGTGACTGCTTTCTGTCTTGAAAAAAAAGTGGCCAGACTCTGTGACCTGGACAACAGTACATGTGCACATACATTCCTGGATTCAGGAAGGGATTTTAGCCACAGTGTGCTTCTTCCCTGGAGAGGTGTTATGTCCAGAAAAGAGGGAGAATTTCAGACCCATCCCTTTTGGCAGTGTTTCACGTTGGCTTGCTGTAGCTCCTTCTGTTTGTGTATATTATATATTCTGGCTCTGTTTTTTGAGTCCACAGCTGGTACCTGACTTTTGGGCTTCATAATATTTAGCCTCCAAACATGTGAGCCTCTTCTGGGGTCTGGCCCATCATTCCAAACCTGTTAAATGGAGTCTGACAGTTGACTTGTTTAGTTGTGTTTGCAAATTCTGGTTAAAATGCTTTGATTTTTATTTGTCTAAATAATTTAACAAACTCCTGACAGTCTGAAACCTGTCTGGTGCACTTCACCATTCCCTGCCTATATGTGTCATTGTGAAAGCTTGTCCTTAACCCTTGTGATATTCAAAGTGAAGTTGCATAAATTAGGCATTGTACACAATTTAGACCTAAGGAAATCCAGAAAAATGTATTAAAACCCACAGAATCTTATTTGGTGTAACATAATGAGATGTAGACATCCTTGCCAATAAGGTTTCTATTGCATTTTTCAAAGATTGTCTCTGTAGTTCTAAAGTAGATAGATTGAGCAAAAGGGAACCTGAGATAAAATAAATTTATCTAAAGTTCCAGGAACTAAGCCTCATC